CACATTAAATGATGAAGCAAAGTTATTGATTTGGCCCAAATCAAGATGAAAATGTTGTGAAAATTTTAGAGATTTTAGTTCTTTTACTTTGCCATTCAGGCTAAGGGTAGTGTTCAGCATCTCAAAAATCCTTGTGAGCAAGTGTAATTCACCCTAATTTTCCACAAAACTCCCTTCCAAATGACAAGCTTTGTTCTGGGGTATTCCAAGTGGGGGCCCATAGTAGAGTCAAAAGTCAAAGTGACACTGAAAGTTTGGAGGGAGCAAATCTCCCCTGAAAACCTTGACAGTTTATATTATAAGGGGGTAGAGTGAATGCATTTAGTGTCCTGCATAGGGTTGCTCACTAAGGAGTTGTGTCTTATTAAATCTTACTGGGCAAATGAATCCAAACTAGCTTGCATATGAGCATTTATATGCGTTGAAAACTGGCTTGAGGACCATAAACAAGAGAAACAAATGCCATCAATCTATTGAGTTGGAATAGATGTTTGGTGGGGGCATGGAGAGCAGAGTCAGGAACAAGCCTGCATAGCTTCCTCCTCAGTGATGTAGAGGCAGTAAAGACTATGTTACAGACACCTCCAGGTGATACGAAACTAGGATCAGCTGCAGATTCCTGTGTGGGAAGGGAGAGTCCAAGCCTGAGTCTTTTCTCAAATATAGCATGTTTTCACTTGCATGACTTAATTGGCTTCATTCCTGTTTTACACTAGCATGAGAACAAACTCAAGCATAACATGGAGCGTTTGGTCCCTTGTGCACCCAGGAGATGGCAAGGTCTAGGCGTGATGATACTGTTTAGACAGGAGTGCAGAGAATTTATCTGGGCACAGATTCTGCTTTGACAGTGTAAGTGCTTGAGAAATGAACTAGAGCAAGATCAAAGAGGTAGACTGACAAGCACAATAAAGATCTGGCAAGGGGAAAATTCCGCTGGGATATGGACATACATGTTTGTCCTGTCCTGCCAATGGGCAATGTTCCTGCCTCCTAATGTGAATGATAAGGGCATCATTATGCTGCCTGAGCACATGACGTGAGCAATCATGCCCAATGAACACCCCTTGGGCGTGCCATGGAAGTTGTAGCATGACCAAGAAGCCTCAGATACAGGAGGGGGCGGGAGCCTGTGGTAACTGAACTACAGCAACCATGAGGTGGTAAACCATGAGTTTGTTCCAACTTGGAGTGTATTGGGAATGCAGATCAAAGCCTGGAGGAATGTTCCCAAAAATCACTGTGGGGGAGGGGGCAGCAGAATTCAAAATACACTGAACATGCGAGCTTTCCAAAGCAAGCCAGCCAACTCCAGCTCCCATCCTCCCCTTCCACCTGACCCTTTTCTTCCTCTTCCATCAGCCACTTTTAATCCTGAGCTCTCCCTTCCTCCCAGCTCCTATCTCACAATGGTATAAGCTCCACTGGGGAACAGGACAGTAGGATATACAGCAGAATCAAGTCTGCCTATGCTAAAGATAGACCTGAGTTGAAGCCCTAGACCTGAACAGGCCTGGAGTGGAGCTCATGCAATACAGACCAGACTTTCGCTGCTGGAAGAGCAGCTCCCTATTCCCCTGTACAGCAGCGGGGTAAGTGAGTGCCACCGTTCAGTCATTTTTTTGCAGAGATATTTGGAAACGCTGCTTCAGTCTTTCCCACGGAAGGAGCAAATGAAGAGCTGTCTCAGATGGCAATATTACTTAAAGTTTTATGGTCCTCTTTTAAATAGAAAGGAAGGAGCCATTTCAGTGAATTTACGAGGATTTGACTTCCATAAATGCAGTCAACTGGTGTCTGCCTGCCAGGCTGGGAGATTTCTGGCGAGTCTGGGAGGGAGAGGGACAGAGGAGGGAACCAAGTCCTGGGGAGGCTGCCAAGTGACAACGGACAGTGGAAGGGTTACACACACAGGGATCTCATTGTGTCTTGGGTCTCTTGCACAAATCGGCCCAGCAGCTAACGACATAGAAGCAGTCATTTCTTCCTGGCGGGCACTGCCTCTGCTGGGCAGTATACCCCAAAAGACCTATCCTTTCCTGGCCTACTCTTGAAGACATGGGACAAGTCCCCTTGCCTGGGATACCTGGCTACAACTCCCAGCATCATGCAGTCATTGTCCTCGACAGGTAGAGAAAGCCTCCAAAGCCCACACTCCCAGAGCTGTGTGCACACCTCTGTCATATACCCCTCAAGAAAAGTAGGACCGCTGCCTGTGTGCATGGACACAGACATCTCCCATCCACCAATCTCCACAAACATGCAAGTTAGCACAGCCTATCCTGGATCTCCACAACACTGGCAGTTGCTTTAGAAGATGAATCAAGTAAAGTAGATGTGGTTAGTGCCTCCCCTTGTGCCCACTCCTCAGCTTGGCACTGGGCTCTACACGTGGGGGAAAGAAACTGGGCTGCCCTGGCATCGGGAAGGAAGTAAGAATAGAGGAGAGAAGAGCTGGAGGATAGAGCTAAGCCAGTAGCATGACATAGTCTCAGTGTGACAGGGCCAAGGATAGAGGCAGGAGCAACAGGGGCTCATTGCTGCCTTTTCCAGGGCTGGGGGTTGCTTTGTGCTTCTCGAGTCATCCAGAAAGGGTGCCCAGGGAAACCATGACACCCCCCTGCAAAGTTGTTTTTCCCTCACATTCTGTTTTACCCATGGCGCTGAGAAGCCATGAGCTGGCCCAGCATATGTCCTGCCAGCAAACATGGTGCACTGCCACCCTGCTTGGAGGCCAGGCCTTGATCTAAGCTGTTAGTGCTTGTGATGCTAATCCTAGAGGTCCCAACTCTATTTAGTGACCTGGCAAGTGGGTGTGGGTCCCACAAACACACCCAGGCATGCGAACATAAAAGGAAACAGCTGCCAGGAAACAAGCTAAGAGACACATATAACTGTGAACATGTGGAAAGTCCTGCCGGCTGAGGCATGGGGGTCAGACAGGAGCTCCAGAGAGGTGAGGACAGACAGCCCCCCACAGAGGGAGTCAGCAAGGCCTTGTAGGATGTTGGGAGCAGGCTGAGGATGCCATGCTGGAACACCTCCCCTCCAGGCAAACACTCCAGTCTCCTGGATGACGCTCCCTCGCATGTGGAAATCAACAATCAAAGGAGCAATTACCCCAAATCACAGCCCCCCAAGTGACAGATAGTCCAGCCTGCCAGGCGGCTTGCATACTGCAAAGAGACAGGTTACAACCTGCTCACACACATTAAGGAGACGACCCTGTGCTGTTTATGCTGTCGGAGACCTTATTATGGGAGCAATTTTCTCTAGATTCCCAAGGGGAGAGACAGGGAGAGAGAGAGCTCAGGCATCCACACAAGCTTGCACAGCCGCCAGTGGCCGTGGCTCCCCGAAACAGCTCAAATCCTCTCCATGACCTTTGTAGTATCCTCACTGCAATGCACTTTGCTTCCAGCCTGTATTACACTGCTCGTGTTGAGCAACTGTCTCCTTCACAGCCAAAATTTTGAAAAAGGAATTGCTTTTCTTGCCAACACTAAACAAATAGGACATGCTTGCAAGCATGTGCGCTCAGACTCTTGGTCCTGGTTTGAAGTTTCTCAGAGACTCAAGATGAGCCTGAGAAACTGTTGACTGCAAACATAAAGTAAAGGACAAATGCAGCAGTGACTCTGGGTTTTAATCTCATGATTTTTAAACCTGTCTTCATGATTTCTGGCTGCTGGGCATAGGGTTGTGGTTCAAGTTTGTCCCTGTAGAGGGACAGGAGGAGGGGAAGATTCTCCAATCCCTACACTGAGCCTAGGCTCAAGAGTCCTGGATTTTATTTCTGACTCCCCCACAGGCTCCCACCATAATTTCTCAGGACCACAGTCCCCATCTGTGAAAGTGATGGTAACAATGAGAACTGTTTTCAGTCTCCAATATTAGTGAAAAACCAAATCCATGTCAATGTCTCAGCCTGTTCTGGGTCTTGCTAAAATTTGGGCACACTGATCAGATGATGCTGTAAATCTTTAAGAAATTTTTTCTGCCACTTCTGAATGTTGTCCCCTGCTCTTTGTGCTCTGACCCTGGTGGTCCCAGTCTCCTCTGTCATGCTATTCCTCATTTTGTCTTCCTCTCTCTCATTCCTTCACACTCATCTCCTCCCCAGGCCACACTATCCCTATCTTTGTCTTCCCTCCTATGTTTTTTTCCAGTCACTGTTCATCCTCATTGCCCGTCTGAGAACCACTTTTGCCATCTCTGACCTGGTTTCACAAACCATACTCAAATGAGCTGGCCCTCTTGTAGCATCTGCATGGTATTCCCCATCTCCTGCCCCTTCCCCACTCTTCCCTTGCAGCAGCAATACCAAACTCTCACATGTTGAAGGAGCTGAGTCTTTGCTATGACCACATAGGTCAAAGTAGGGCTAAGAACGACAGAGTGAAAGCAAATCAGATTGCATCAGGCTTTGACAAACTGATCTGTAGGGCAAAGCAGAACCTGCAGAATGTAGAAACAAGACACATGCAGACATCAGGGACAGACAAGGGGCCAAAGTCATGATTTAGAGATATTTCTCCCAGGACCCACTTACGCCTGAGCAGAAAGTAACTCTACCCCTGTTCCACCCTCACTGCAGACGTTTGGCTGTGAAGCAGGGCCTGTATGTTAGTCAGTGCCCCCAGGGAGAGGTCTCTCACACAGGCAGCCACAGGAAGTCTGTGTTGTAATATCTGGGAAGTGGGGTCCTTTCCAGGTATCCAGGGAATGACTTCAGCCACAGGCTATCCCTGGATGCTGAAAGCACTGAACTGAGGGCTGGCAGGAGTAATAAACCATTATTTTCTTTGCCTGTTCCCCAAACATAAGAGGGGAACATATGCAAAGACTGCCTGAGCCCACACCTGCAGCTCAGCTTCCAAGAGTCAAAGCATCCTCCCTGAGAGGGCTGTAGCAAGATGCATGAATTGTTAAGCCTCTGTAGACAAGGGATTGTCATTACAAGGATGCTGACACATTATTGGCTCTTCTTTTTGCTGCAGACGCCTCTCTGGAAATCAGATCTCCAGGATCCCAGGGGAAGCTTTTTCTGGCCTCTACAGTCTGAAGATTCTGTAAGTAATTCACTCCCTTCTGCACCGCTACCACCATCTCCTTTTGCCTTCTACAGCACCTGTGTGCCAGGCACTGGCCATGCATTGGGACTTGGAGCCAGCCAGAGGAAGATGAAAAGTTACAAGCTGGTGTAGTATGAGTTCTTAAACCCAGGCCATCTAACATGCACATCTGGTGAGGGGGGGGTGCCTCCCATCCCAGGGCCCACTTGCTGTTAGCACCACTTCCTTGCTTCTGCTGCAGCAAACTATGAGCAGATCATCTTCAGGGCACAGCCCTTCTTGCCTTATGAAAAACGCAGAATATGCAGAGGTTCATACTTCAGATAAAATGCACAAAATATCCTGATGAATTTCACTGCCCATATGTCTACAGTGCTAAGATGTGGTCTCCAGACCCCAAACTGGCACCCATCTGTCCTGTACACTGCAGCTGGGTCTTGGGACTGGGCTAGAACAACTCAAATGTCCAGACACCTGTGCAGTGACAGGCACTTTGGAAAGACCCTGTATTCTGCTCAGCTTGGCTACTTCTTTGAAACCAATCTGTCTTTGCTGCAATCCTGACTGCAGGCAGGATGGACGGCCCAGGAGATCTCCAGGAGGCTCTGAAGTTACCTGCCCCCAAGAGAGATGGGAGCCTTTGGGCTGAAGTATGACTTCAGCCTAAGCTCAGCTGGCTCATAGGGGCAAGGTGGACATGTGCAGCTAGGTCTCAGGAGCATTGCAGCCTTCAGGCCATGCCTAGGAACTGCCAAATCAGGGAAATAAAGGCCTAGTCATTGTGGGCAGGCCACCCACCTCTGTCCATTCATTGGGAAGTGCTGGGACTGCCCATGCCTGCAGGAAGGTCTGAATGACAAAGATGACCAGCAAATTCCTTCCTAGGGGCCAGGTGTGTCCCACTGGTCATGATGTGACATAGGTTTTGCATCCATGACCCAAGCCCGCAAAGTCTGTGCAGGGTATTCAGCTGCAAGTCTCTCTTTCTCCCTTTCAGGAACCATTTTAAAAATCTCGTGCAATAAACATTTCATCCCCAAGGGGATGTTTTGAACTCAGCTGCAACGTGAAATTGTTGTAGCTGGCCCAGTTTATACAGGGCGAGCAGGTACAAACCTGCTTCCAGGATTAGAGAGTACAGGCTGTTTACTACGTCTTCTGAAGATATAAAGTATGAATCCTGCCCTAAATCTCAGGGCTTAGAGATTTATCCATCCCCTGCATTAGGCAACAAATCAAAGGAACTGAGGAAAAACCACAGCTCTCCCACCCAATTTCAACAAGAGGAACTTTCCATCCAGGGAACTTGAGAGCTCTAAAAGCCGCTTTTGATCAAGTTCTACTTGTGTCAGGCCCAGCTAACTACTGATGCAGAATATAAGAACGATGCCTCCCTTCCAAAGCCAGCACAGCTCCCAGCAGGTTGCAATAACAAGAAGAACGCGCTCTCTCTGCCCTGCTGTCAGTGCACAGACGGGCTCACGGACTCCCCACATGCCCCACCATGGTCACAGACACCAGGAAGGGCAGGTTCACAAGTGGCCCCATTCCAAGAAGAGCCCCAAAGGATTAGAGCATCTGTCACTGTATTTCCAGTTGGGATATGGTTGCACAGAGAAACTTGCTCCAGGCAAGTTGTGAGATGAAGACAGAGCTGTGGTCAGTGTCCTGATGCCTCAGGACGATCTGCCTTACTCACAGCCTGGCTGTGCCCAGCAACAGAAGGTGGTAGCTGGGCTGTCACAGCAAGCCCCTGCATCACAACCAATCTAGGTCTTCCTTAAATTTACACCAAAACCCCTGACTTTTCCCATAGAGATATGCAGAGGACTAGCCCAGATCAAAAGCCAAGGAAGGAAGGGTTGATGCTCACAGTGACTGGCCCATGCAGGCCCTGCTACAGGGCTTGTTATTTAAAGTTCCTACTTTCTAAAAGCAGGGCATTTCCAGCCCTCATATCACTGGGAGCTTTTCACTTTTCAAAGCTATTGACACTTTCCTTGCCACATTTGCAGAGATATGTTGGACTATCGTGTGCTTTTGCTCTAGGAGCTGCTGTAACTGTTTTCTGTAAAGGTATTGCTGGCTCCACAGGAGTCAGGTCATTGGCAGATGTAGTTGTGAATGCCCTCCAGGCTTCTGGTTCTTGCTTCCTCCAGGAACAGAGATCATTCACGCTCCTTTTATTCCTCTGCCACCATGAGAGTGAGGTAGGCAGTGAGGGGCATTGAAAAAGTAGGCTGGTCCCTGGGAATTTGCTGAAATGGGATTAGAAAATCTGCCAGGACAGACTTGAGTAGCATTTCAGCTTTAATCACATTGGAAGGGCTCTTGGCAAGGATAGGGATTCTCAGTGATTTCTTCGGCTTAGAAAAGACAGAATAAAACCACAAGGTGTTGAAGAAAGAAGGTGAAGGCCACCGTGTTTGCTCCTTCAAGTTGTTTTTCTCATCAGGCAGTGTCTCTGTCAAGGCTGGTAACAATATAGCAGCTCAGCAGATTCTGCTCCATCTCCCCAGAGACACGTCAGCAAACAGTGTTTGGAGACTGGCAGCAAGGGTAATCCCTGAGCAGCCTCAACAGCCTTCCACCTGCAACTTTCAATCTGCACACCAACACAATTGCACAGGAGAAGGATGCACAAGCCTCCTTCCTGGCACTGGCTTGCTAATGACCCATGGATCACTCTACTTCCCCTCTGATCTCATTAGGACAAGGCTGTGTGTGTGTGTCCTAGCTGCCTTCCACAATAGGGTCCACAACCTCATTTGGTACTGCAATAAAATCACCAAAACCTCCTGTAGGAGAATGTGCTTATTTTTGCCATATTACTTTTTGAAAAAACAAGGCAGAAACTGAGATCAGAAGCAGAGAGCCCCTTGCCAGCCCTCTGCAGAGTAGCTTGCACCTTCCCTCAGCGTCTGGTTCTGGGGAGGAACAAAGAGCGGAGCCTGGACAAGGGAGAGCTCAGGGTTGTCTCCCTCTTCCTCTGCCTTTGGAGTGACTGAAAAGCCTTGTTCCCTCTTCCCAAGCCATTTTTCAATTTTCTCTTCTCTTGCTGTGCTTCTCAGTTCCCATCCAAGCCACTGTTTCTTCAGGGCAAGACCTCCCCTGTTAGCTAGGTTCTCTAAGATCTCTCTGTTACCTGACACTGAAGATGAGAATAGCAGCTTCAAACCCAAAAGACTGTAGGAGGCATATGACTGAGGCCCTTTGGCACTGCTGTGATGTATAGGATAAGTTATGGAGGTTTAAACAGGTGACAGGGAGGACAAAGAGGTATAAATTCACTGTGCACTGTATAGCTGCACAGAGCCTACAGAAGCATGTGCATCATACAGCTGCACAGTGTACTGAAGTGTGCTCTGTGTTAGTTGTGCTTGGTACCGAGTGAGTAACAGTTTGGCCCCAGTTACATTGATAGCCTGATGGGACTGCCATGAAAATACATTGTGCAGAGCAGTGTTTCACACTGAGAAAAGCTGCTCACCACTCTGGGCCAAGTCCGGATCAAATCCTTGCTCCCTGTTCTCTCTGTGTTTCTCAGCCTGGGACGTACACACAGAGAACTTAGGACCAATATAATCACTCCCAAAGTAATATACTTTTCTCTGAAATTTCTTCTCCATCAAAAAAAACCCCATACCTTGAAGGAGGTATCTAGAGAGACAATTTTCAGAGTCCATGAGGCAGAAGAAAACAGAGAAATACTAAGACGAAAGGTATTAAGAAAGAAACAGCAACAATCCTGCCTCTTAGCTTGAGCTAGAGATGAGCCATCAAGCTTATACCTAACATTCCTAACTCTGTCAGCAGTCAAGAGAGGAGAGCACTCTGGGCGAGTGAGTCACGCTTCAGCTTGTATGCTCAAATATTGGAGGTGCATTGAACTTTTCGGTGGGTGCCTGACTCTGTCTCTCAGCCAGCAAAGGCACAGAGATAGACTCCTAGGCCGGATACCAAACTGGAACCAGATGGTTACTGAGAAGTATGCTTTTTACCTCTGCTGACAGCATGGGGCTGTACAAGGCAGCATGCATCTGCAAGGACAGGCGCAAGGACTCAGAAGGGAGAGTCTTGGCTAATGGGAGAGACAACTGGAAGAGGCAGGATGCTGCAAAAGAGAGGCCAAAAGAAAAGCTCTGCGGACAGACAGGGATAATTGGTTGCATAAATACAGGTGGGGGCTCACTGGCAGCCCTGCAGAAATGGCCTGGGGTTGGTGGGGGTCCCGGGAGACCTGAGGCAAGACTAACTTGCTCTTGGAGAAGGCAGACACCCTCTGGGCATGGCTAAATGCGGGGTAAAGCAGCAGGACACCAGCAGGGATCCTTCTGCTCCTCTTCATGCTGGGGAGCCCTTGGCTGGGCCACACTGTCTCGTGCTGGCCCTGCCCTGCAGGATATGGAGCAGCTAGTGGGCACCCAGGGGACGACGAGCAAAAGGATCAGCAAATGAAAGATCAACATCTGTGAGGAGAACATAGTAAACATTGCAGGGGTTACAGAAGAATGGGCTTAGGATAATTAAATCTAGAAGAGGAAAAGCTAAGGAGACATCCTGAAATCATCAAGCACTGAGATATGCAGGGTGCTCACCCCCCACCCCGCATCGCCCCCGCATTTTTGAGCAGGGGAATGGCGGTGAGACCCTCTCCCCATGCCTTCCACCTGCATCTTCTGTGCAAGGCTCATCCGATGGCAGCACAAATGACCCCTGGAGCTGCCTAGTGTAGACAAGGAGCTGCCCAAACCTTAGACACTCTGGCCATCTCTAACACCTGCTAAAGTGACTCCTGATTTTTCTCTAACTATCCTGCCACACCACACCCACCCCACCTGCACTCTTCTCCCTGCATCTTGCCATTCTCCAGATGCTTCCCTGTTTCCTTTACTGGAAGGATGAGAGAGAAAGGAAGGGCCCTGTCACTCCTCTGAGCGTCTCGCTGGCTGCTCTGTATGGACATGGGCCAAATGCAAGGACC